CGGGGGGGGTGGGGAATTAGAGCCGCAGATAATTATAATAGCAGTTTTCTGATGCTTTGAATCTCCATGGCTTAATACAGAAATGAGTTAGTGAAATGAGTTAAACTGGACTGCTAACTCTTCTTAGTATCTTGTGCTTAAAGAAGAGGGAAGCCCCTAATCCACAGACACTAGGGACACCTACCTGCAGGACTTCCATCTTGTCGGGATTCAGCCTCAGTCTGTTATCCTTCATCCACTCCAGTACAGTGTCCAGGCAGCGCTCAAGGGACGGAACGGCATTTTCTACAGAGGGATGGAAGGAGAGAGAGAGCTGGGTGTCATTCGGATATTGGTGACAAAAAGCTCCAAAACACCTGATGAACTCCCCCAGTAACCTCATATTGATATTAAATAGCATTGGGGAGATGATCGCCCCCTGTGGGACTCCACAATTAAGAATCCAAGGGGTAGATATCATCTCCTCAAGCTGCACTTTCTGAGGATGGTCCTCTAAGAAAGATTGGAGCCAGTTCGAAAGCGGGCCACTGATCCCCAACCCAGAGAGCCTCTCCAGGAAGATACCATGGTTGATGGTATCAAAGGCCACTGAGAGACCAAGGAGGACCAGCAAGGACATTTTGCCTCTGTTAGTCTCTCTCTAAAGGTCATCTTTGCAAGGTGACCAATGCTGATTCCGTACCACGATGCGACCTGAATATAGACTGCATCAAGGGGATCAGTTTCCTACAGGAGTGCCTGTAGATTGTTGGCCATCACCTTCTCAACTAGTTTGCTTAAGAAAGACACATTGGCAGCAAGTCTGTAGTTGTTAATATCATCCACTGCCAAATTAGTTTTTTTGCAAATGGACTTGATGAGTGTATCATTCAGGGCTTGGGGAAACCTGCCCTCAAGGAGAGAGCCATTAATAATAGCAGCGTCCCATTCTGTTGTTACTGGCCTGGGAGCTTTTATGAGCTGGACCAGGCAACAATCTAGGGAGGCTGCAGTGGCCCTGCAGTGATCAAGCACCCATTCAACCTCCACTGGCATCACAGGCTGAAATTGTGTTAAACTCACTGGACAGGGCAGTGCAGTGGACATCTCAACTCGATCTACTGAAGGGAAATTGCGGTCAAAGATAGCCTCCACTTTATATTTCAAAAATACCGCAAATTGGTCACAGGAAATACTACTAGGAGGCCTGTCACTGTGACCAATCCAGAATAAATCACATACTGTATGAAATAGTTCGGCCTGATGATCTTGCACTTTGCTTATCTGAATAGCAAAGTAAGCTCTTGTGGCCTTCACCTTAGGTAAGTAAATACATGTTAACCACTTAGAGTAGTGCCAGCAACATGGGAATGAATGAATGAATGAATGAATGAATGAATGAATGAATGAATGAATGAATGAATGAATGAACAGAAGAGGAGCAGATGCATCATGGGATGCATCTGTTACTGAGCTGTACCATTTCATATTATAGTCAGTGATATACAGTGTGGGATCAAACCATATGACTTTCTGAACAGCAGAAATTGTGGTTTACTTATTTACTGTTAGTTTAACTGTAATCCGTATAGTAACTGGGAAGTAAATGGCTTTTCCCAATATACTGTTGTATTTGTATCATAATGTAAAGTACTTGAGGGTGTCTGTCTTGAATATCAAGAAATCAGCAGATGAATCAAAACAAAAATGGGCTAAATTAAAAATTTCCATGTGACCTTATGTAGCAAACACTATGGTGTATGTACTACCCAAGATAAATCTTGTATTCCTATTTGGAATAGGCAGCCTATTTTACACTCACAGAGAAAAATTCATCTGTCAACTGATTGATGGTTGTTTTCTGGGGGGGGGGGGAATGGAAATTTTTCATCTCTAATTCCAAACTATTCTGTTAAACCCAGGGAACAAGAACTGCTG